CCCGTCATACTCCATACCATATCATCGCCTCGTCAGTGGGTTGTCTGTCTGTCTACATACCGTATCATCGCCTCGTGTGCGGCAGCGCCGAGCAGCAGAACGAAGAGCAGCGACGACTGCGGTTGGAGCGCGGGAGCGAGGGGCGGGCGCCGCGGCGGCGGCGGAGGAGAGAGCGGTGGCAGGAGGAGTGGCGGCGGTCTTCGGGATCGCATGTGCGTTGGTGAAGGTGCTGTGCGGCTGTCGGTGTCATCGTGGCTCCGTCACCATTCGTCCGTCACCATATCATCGCCTCGTGAGGGCGGCAGCGCCGAGCAGCAGGACGGGTAGCGACTGCGGTGGAGCGTCGGAGCGAGAGCGGGGGGGCGGGGGGCGCGGCGGCCGCAGGGTGGCGGCGGCGGCGGCGGCGGCGGTGAGGGGGGAGAGGGAGGCGACGGGCGGTGATGGAGAGACGGCGCCAATATGGATCACGCTCTCTCACCGCACGCATGCTTGCACCGAGGCACCGAGGCGAGACGACGAGCGCGACTGCGAGGTTGGAACACCGGACGAGGGGGCGGGGCGGGCGGCGGCGGCGGAGGAGGCGGCGGAGGTGGCGGTGGCGGTGGCGGTGGCGGGTGGAGCGAGGTGATAGAGGGGAAGAGGAGCTGACTGGCCTCGCGTGCCGCCGAGCAGGAAAGTAGCGACTGCGGTGGAGCGTCGGAGCGAGGGCGGGGGGAGGCGGGGGGCGCGGCGGCCGCACGGTGGCGGCGGCGGCGGCGGCGGCGGTGGAGGGGGGGAGGGAGGCGACGGGCGGTGGTGGACGTGGAGAGAAGCACACACAGGACCACTTGCCGAAAGAAGCTCGAGCCGCCCGGAGGCTTGTTTGCAACTGCGGTTGGCAGCGGAAGCGAAGGGCGGGGCCGGGCCGGGCAGGCGCAGTCGAGTGACACCCGGCGCCAATATGGATCACGCTCTCTCACCGCACGCATGCTTGCACCGAGGCACCGAGGCGAGACGACGAGCGCGACTGCGAGGTTGGAACACCGGACAAGGGGGCGGGGCGGGCGGCGGCGGCGGAGGAGGCGGCGGAGGTGGCGGTGGCGGTGGCGGTGGCGGGTGGAGCGAGGTGATAGAGGGGAAGAGGAGCTGACTGGCCTCGCGTGCCGCCGAGCAGGAAAGTAGCGACTGCGGTGGAGCGTCGGAGCGAGGGCGGGGGGAGGCGGGGGGCGCGGCGGCCGCACGGTGGCGGCGGCGGCGGCGGCGGCGGTGAGGGGGGAGAGGGAGGCAAGTCGTTGACCTGTCCACCTTGTGCCGGGGCGAAGTCAAGTCCTTGTTGCCTCGGAAGTGTCTCGGAACTTTCTTTTTTGTTTTTTTTCGACTTGCGCCGGGTGGAGGACTCACAGCAGACAGGCTCGACACACAGGGCGGACTGGCGCGTGCTAGCACTAAGAACATACGCAAAGGAGCCGCCTGATAAGCGACTCCGTTCAGAACGGCAATGCACTTAGCTCCGCAATGGGACCGGAGTCGGGCGGGCGCACATGAGGCGTGTCCGTGTACGTACGTGGAGTACAGTGTCGTAGTGTCCGTGTCCACTAGCTCCGAGTAGAGGGGGCGTTCTGCAGTTAAGGGGAAACCCGGTACACGGAGCCCTCTCGGAGACCCGTGTTTACTTTATGGCCCTTGCCCTGCGAACGCGCACCCCCGGGGCTAGGGCTCTCTTGCCCGCAACCCGATCCCGATCATCCGGCCCGCTCCTGGGTGCGCTCCTCAGCTCCCCGGCCCTGGATGTGAGGTTGATGACTGCACTCTCCAAGTGCTCCAAGTGCGCGGCCCACTCCAAGTGCGCTGGAGGCGCTCTGTTACTCGTAATGCGCTCTCTAAAAGCACACAGTCCCAGCCTCCGGACCCTCAAGACAGCACCTCGGTCGGAGGCGAGAAGGCAACATACTCACGCTCCCCTACTCCGTCTCGCGCGTGATCGCGAAGCGCAGCACGCACCCGACAAAGTCGCGCGCCGCGATGCCGTTCGTGTTTCCTGCCGAGTCGAGATGGTGCCGCTCGTGGATCTCGTAGAGCGAGACGACGAGGAGCGCCGCCCGCGCGCGGGCCGCCGCGGGGAAGAGCGAGTGGCTTGCCGGCGACCACGGCGCCGCCGCCCGCCGGACCAACGCCGCCGCCTCACCCTCGCCGCCCGCGGCGCGCTGCAGCGGCGTCGGCTCGCCCTCGTGCAGGCTTGCGCCGCTGCGCAGCAGGGAGAGAGCGCGGGCGGCGCTGAGGCTCTCAAGGTGCGCGAGCGGCGTCCAGCCGCGGCTGGCGACCAGCCAGGCGGCGAGGTCGGCCTGGCCTGCGCTGGTTGCGGCCTCCTCGGGCGTGCCGACGGATGGCGTAGCGGCGCGGGAGGCGCCGTAGGAGGAGAGGAGCTTGGCGACCTCGAGGTGGCCCTGGTGGCACGCCATGATCAGTGGCGTGACGCCGTTGCCCGCAGCTTGGTCAACCACTGCGCCAGCCTCGAGAAGCAGCCGGGCGATGTCGACGTGGCCCTTCTGGCACGCGACGATCAACGGCGTGACGCCGCCAGCCATGACTTGGCCAACCGCTGCGCCAGCATCGCGCAGTAGCCTCGCGATCTCGACGTGGCCTTGGTAGCACGCCCTGAACAGCGGCGTGGTGCCTTGTTCCTCGGCTTGGTCGACCGCTGCGCCGGCCTCGAGAAGCAGCCGGGCGATGTCGAGGTGATCCTTCTGGCACGCGATGTAGAGCGGTGTGGTGCCGTCGTTCATCGCTTGGTTGACCGCCGCGCTGGCCTCGAGAAGCAGCCGGACGATGTCGATGTGGCCTGCCTCGCACGCAGCGTACAACGGCGTGGCGCCATTGTCCGCCGCCTGGTTGGCCGAAGCGCTGGCCTCGAGGAGCAGCTGGGCGCACTCGACGCGGCCCTGCTGGCACGCGATGAACAGCGGCGTGGCGCCATTGTCCGCCGCCTGGTTGGCCGAAGCGCTGGCCTCGAGGAGCAGCTGGGCGCACTCGACGCGCCCCTGCAGGCATGCCATGATCAACGGCGTGATGCCGCCATCCATGACTTGGCCGACCGCTGCGCCAGCGTCGCGCAGCAGCCTCGCGATCTCGATGTGGCCGAAGTGGCACGCAGCAAGCAGCGGAGTGAGGCCACCTTGATTGGCTTGATTGATCGCCGCGCCCGCCTCAAGGAGCAGCCGGGAGCACTCGACATGGCCCTCCTGGCACGCGAGGAGAAGAGCAGAAGCGCCGCTCCCATCAGCCGCCCCGACGCTTGCGCCGGCCTCGAGAAGCAGCCGGGCGATGTCAACGTGGCCCTTCTGGCACGCGATGTACAGCGGCGTGGCGCCAGTGTCGCGGGCTTGGTTGACCGCCGCGCTGGCCTCGAGGAGCAGCCGGGCGCACTCGAGGTGGCCGTTCTGGCACGCGATGAACAGCGCGGAAGCGCCGCCGCCAGTCGTCGCCCCGACGCTCGCGCCGGCTTCGAGCAGCAGCCGCACCGCCTCGGCTTGCCCGTGCCGAGCGGCCCAGGTGAGAAGCGTGTCCTGCGTATCTGTGTCGAGTCGCGCGTCAAGCTGGGCCGTGAGCGACGTGCCGCGCGTCCCCCGCCCGGAGAGGAGGGCGCGCAGCGAGCCCAGGTCGCCCACCGCCAGATCGGGCAACAGAGTTGGGCACGCGGTGCCGCCAGAAAGCCCAGAATCGCTCATAGTATGCCGCCAGAAGAAAAATGCGACCGGCGGTTCCGTCGGTTCCGTTGGCCTCTTTGTCTTAAGTATATTCTTTGTAGGGAAGAATTTTTGATACCCGTCAAGACGCCTGCTGGGGGCAGCTTCGTAACGAAGCCGTCTGGCTCGTGAGGTTGCTGACCGCACTCCAAGAAAAAAGAAAAAAGTCCGCCCCAAGGGAGGGAGGGGAGGACGCACTCCAAGTGACGGAGCATATTTTCTTATCCAGGGAGACCACAGCTCCGACCCTACTCCGTCTCGCGCGTGACCGCGAAGCGCAGCAACGAACCGGGACACCAGCCACCCGCCCCGGGGGTAATGACCTGCGACGCGTGCGGCGGCACGGCCACGGCTGCCGCCGCTCGCTCCGACGCCTTCTCCTGCGCCGCATGTGGCTTCCTCTCTCCCGATGCCGAGCTGCGAGGAGCGCTCGGACTGGGTCGGTCGACATTTGACTCCTTCGCCCCTCCAAGCGATGTCTACTTTGGAAACGTGCAGATCGAGCTCCTGCGGAGCCTCTACCGCGCTGGCCGAAGCGCGAGTGCTGCTGTAAGACGCGCACACCGGGCGCCAATCGCAAGCAATGCGGCGGATGGCGAGGCCCAGCTGCTGGCCTGGCTCTCCATGCGGCTGCCTCCCGGGAGCGAGGCGGAGGCGGAGGCGGCCAGGATGTGGGAGGCAGCCAGGTTGGTAGAGGCGGCTAAGACAGCTCAGCAGCCGGGAGCGCCGGTGCCGGCGGCGATGTCGGCAGCGGCTGCGGCGCGCGGCCCCGACAACAAGAGCGAGAGCCCTGTGCCCGAGCAGCCGCTGCAGCAGCCGCACTCGAGTCCTCTCGCAGTCACGCCCGCGGCGCGAGCGGTTGGCACCGGCTCGCAGCAACTCACGGGCTCCTCTTGCAGGTGCGCCCTGCTCTCGCCGCGCGCGCGCCCGCCCTCCCCTCTCGCTCATCAGGAAGCCACCCCCGTCGCAGCGGCGCTTCGGCCGGCGCCTCCTCGACAACCGCCGGCTCCGGCCGCTGCAATTCGCCCATGGATGCTGATGCGCCGCCGGCCGCCTCCGCCGCCTCCGCCGCCTCTGCCGCCTCTGCCGCCTCCGCCGCTCCCGCCGCTCCGGCCGCCTCCGCCGCTCCCGCCGCCTCCTCTTCCTCCGGCGGCACCACGGACCCCGCGCGCCTCTCGTCGGGCGGGAGGCCGGCTGGCGGCGGCGGGAGCGGCGGCCCGGGCGCCGCGGGCGCCGCGACCTCCTCCGGGGTGGGAGGCGAGGCGGGCGCGGCCGAGGCGGAGGCGGCGCGCGTCGGCAGCATCCTCGCCGCGGCGGCAGACGCGATGGGACTGATTCGCGCGAGGGAGGAGGGGAGAGACGAGGAGAGAGACGAGGAGAGAGAGGAGGGCGGGGCAGAGGGCGGGCACGCATGCGGCGCGGACGGCTTGCCAGGCGGCGCCGCCGCCGCCGCCGCCGCCGGCCGGCGGCGGCGCTGCACCACAAGACAGGCGGCGGAGCTCATATCTCGCCATATCTCGCCATATCTCGCCATATGTCCCCATATCTCGCCATATCTCAGGCGGCGGAGCTGCGGCGCGTCGTCGAGCGCGCCGGCGAGGAGTACTTGGCTTGCGCCGTCGCGTATGCGCACGCCGCGCCGCCTCCGTGGACGCTCCTCGGCGCGCTGCCTCGCGAGCCGCCCCACCGCCCCTTAGAGAGGGCTCCCGCTTGGGGCTCCCCGGCTCTTGCACCCACGCGCACCGGGCCTTGCACTTTCAATGCCGTGCGGGGCTGCTCCTGTCTTTTAGACGTGGAGTCGCGAGGGTCGCCTGGCCCTTGCCCCACCACCGTCGTGTGCGTGTGGAGACATTGACCACCTCGCCTTTTCATACCCCCGCCCTACCTGCAGGCCCGTACCCCCGCCCTACCTGCAGGCCCGACCGACTGGTGTGACCTCCGCAACTGCGCGCCGCGCGCGGGCGGCAGCTGGGCGGCTCTGCTCGCGCTGAGCGCGCAGCAGGAGGAGCGGGCGTGGCTGAGGGCGGCGATGGAGCTGTGGCGACAGCTCGGCGGCGCCCTGGGCGCGCACCTCTTGTGACTCGGGCAAAAGAAGCAAGTACAAGTATTGCGGCAGCGATTCGGCTTCTTCGTTCTTGTTGACCCGCGCGTTCAGCGTCTGCCAGTTGTACATTTTCTGCGCGTACGAGTTGGGGCACTCGGGTAGTTGTGGACCTCCACGATCCGCGGGCACTATCTCCGCCCGCGTGAGCGCCATCGGCAAAATGGGGCGATCGTAATCCGATTTTCATCGCGCGGTCTATATAAAGAGAATCGAGCGTTAGCGCGACTAGCGAGGGGGCGCCGCTGCACACACACATCACACTCAACGTTGCCGTACCTGGGCCCTGCGCAATCTCGTGATCCCGGATCCAGTTCATGCACACACATGATCCTCTAGATCCAATACATGCTTCCGCCACTCTCGGGCCTCGTCTAAATTAATTTCGGTGCCAGCGCGCCAGCCAGCGCTGCCCTCGGTGTGCCAGCTCAGACGGTATGCCCGTCTTCGTCAACTTTACTTGATCCATAGTCGCAGCCGAGGACGTCTGCACTGCACAGCGTGACGGCGGCGACGCGGGAGAAGCCAAAGGACCCCCCATACTCGTCGTCGTCGTCGACGACGTAATTGTACCAAAAGGCCCCATTCTCCTCGTGCGTCTCATCCTCGCTGCTCGTCCGTCGCAGCACCTCGTCGCGCCGCCCGCACGCCCCGAGCGCGATGGTGCCGTCGGGTGCCCTCGCTCCAACAAAGATGTGCGTCGCCTCCGCCGGCACGCCCTCGATTTCCGTGAGGGCGGTTGCGTAGGAGTACGGCTGATCAATGTGCTGCTTCCATCCGGTGAGAAAGGCATTTGGAATCGACCGATGCACGCCATGAGACATGCGCGGCCGAGTGCGCGGGGCCGCGGGCTCGAGGCAGACGCAGCTGCGGAGGCGGTAGGCCGCAGCGCCAGGTGCCGGTACGCCTCGTAGAGCAGCTCCTTGCCGCCCTCGCACGCGGTCAGCACGCCCGAACCCAGCATGCGCCCAGGTCTAATTTTACTGGCACCCGTGTTGATCTCATCTGCCTGCCCGAGCCACGCCTTCCCGCGGCTCGTCGCGAGTGGAGACGCAAAGGACGACGACGACCGCAGCTGCGCCGACAAGAACGAGAACTGCGCCGGCTGGGCGGCGACGGGTGAGTGTGAGGCAAACCCGAGCTTCATGCTGGCCAGCTGCGCGGACTCGTGCACACACTGCAGGCAGGGCCGACCCGGCGAGATGCGCTCGCGCGAGGAGCGGCTCAAGCGGAGAGAAATGCGTGCGACGACCACGACGGCTCCGACGGTCTGGTGCGCTGCCCATCCTCGTGCCGAGTGTGCAGATTCAAGCGAGTGGTTGGCGAGGCGTTTGATTGCGGCTCCTTCTCGTCCCAGGGTGCGCAGCTATCGACACACTCGTGTCGTGGTAGTGGCTAGCGCCTGTAGCGACTTTGGTGCGAGGCGAGGGTGCACTTCTCTCGCGGATGGACCGTTGGCGCGTGACTAGGCGCGTGCGAGGCGAGGCGGAGGCGCTGCGCCCGCCCTCCCGACACGCCCCCCGCGGTGACGAGGCCGGAGGAGGGAGGGCAGACGATCGACGCGACGATGCGGCGCATCCTTCGCGATTTTCCGCAGGTCGCCGCCCTGTGTGTGGAGGAGGAGGTCTGCCTCACCCTGCCGGCTCACCCTGCCCGGCTTGTGCTCCCCGCAGTACGCGCCGCGAGCTGTGTCGCGGCCGGGCGGGCCGCACGGCGAGGGCGCTCCCTGGGTGATGTCGACAGCGCACGTGTACACTTGGAGTGAAAACATTTTCCAGTTTGGAGAATTGGAGATTGACCCGGCCGGGGGGGGGATCTCTAGGCTCATCACAAATCGCACCGTGCGACTGCGCGAGAGTTGCGCAGTGAAACCACCCCGGGGCCAACCGTCTTCGGTTTCGTCGTCCATAGTGCACTATAACCCACGAAACCCGAATAAAAAACGTGTACCCCCCTTCGAGTGTATCTCTTGTTGCTATGGAGCGTCCGGTTCAACACGCGCTTGCGCGCTCGCGTCTGCTGGCGCCCAGAGAACATGTTGCACCACGTGCTCCCGGCGGAGCCCAACTGCTTGCACTCGACAAGGCAGTCCATCCACTCGCGGCAGCTGAAGTCGAACTTCCACTCAATGCGGCTCGCGCCGGGTTGTGAGCTCGGCGAGCGAGGTAGGAGAGCGACCTCCAGTTGGCCCAAGCCGCACGCCACTGAGGCAGAGCGGCCGTGCGCGTACGACGCCGTACGCGCACGGCCACTCTGCACCGACCGCAGCGCTGCGTTGCGACCGCAGTGGCTTAGCTCAGCCAGGGCTCGCTCGAGCTCGGAGCCGCCGTCGGTCATGGGCAGCAACAAAGGTTTGACGCGTCACTCGGTGCAGGAGGGCACTGCAGTGGAGGTGCAGCGGCCGTCCGGCGCGTGCGCGATGGGCTGCAGCTTCATTGGCAGCTACCAGAGCGCGTCTGGAGCGCTGCCATTGTGTGACCCACGTCCAAGCGGCGCTTCCGGCCTGTTCCGCGCCTCTTTTTACGCTTTTCATTGGAGAGGGGGGGGCGAGGTCTCATCAACTTCGAAACCGCCTTTGAAAGGGGGCAAATGCGTCCGTCCCTGAGACGGTTGGGAAGGGGGTGGTTTCACTGCGGCCAGTTGGCACAACTGCCGCTCCCAATTCCTATTGGGAGCACACGCAACTCTCGCACGTTGTACGAGACGTGGTGCGTGTGACTGTGCGTTCTCAAAACTACTCACGCACGGCGCGGACCGCCCAAGCCGCCCTCACGAGCACGCAGCCGCCGCGCCACCCTCAGATGACAATCTCGGGGCCCTCAGATGACAATCTCGGGGCCCTCAGATGACAATCTCGGGGCTGCGGATATTCCGCTCCAGCTGCTTCTGCGGCAGCACCGTCGCGCCATTGAGCAGCAGCGCCTCGCACACCTCGAGGGGAGGAAGGGTCCGGGAAACTTCTCCGGGCACACAAGGGGGGGGGAGAGCTGCCGGGAGAGGGCGGCGTGTGTGTGCGTGTGCGTGTGCGTGTGCGTGTGCGTGTGCGTGTGCGTGTGCGTGTGCGTGTGCGTGTGCGTGTGCGCGTGCGCGTGCGCGTGGGTGCGTGTGCGTGTGCGTGTGTCTCACCTCGACAGCCTCGCCGAGGACTGACCCGTTGACGAAACACCAGCGGCCGATGGAGGAGCCGAGGCCGAGGACAGACTCGCGGATGATGGCGTGCGATGCGACGGCGGCGCCCTCGAGCAGCGTGCACGACTCGAGCCTACGGGAAGGTAAGGTCAGGTACACTTCTCCACACACACAAGGGTGGTGGGGCGCGGGGCCGGGCGACCCTCGCGACTCGACGTCTAGAAGGAGGTAGAACGGCGCGTGGGGTAGGGGATGGCTCTTGGCGGGTCGCGTGAACCCGCACGGCGTGGGACGGCGCACGGTGCGAGTACGGGGAGATATGGGGAGATATGGGGGAGATGTGGGGGGATGTGGGGGAGATGTGGGGGATATGGAACGGCGCACGGCGCGATGCGAGGACGGGCGAGTACGCGGAGGAGTGAGGGTGGGTCCGCACATCTACAGGGCGCGAGCCTCACCCCCTCGGCCACGCGGCAGTTTGGGCCAATCACGACCGCCGGCCCGACGACGCACCCCTTGCCGATGGTTGCGGTTAGGGGTAGGGGTAGGGGTAGGGTTAGGGTTAGGGTTAGGGGTAGGGTTAGGGTTAGGGTTAGGGGTAGGGGTAGGGGTAGGGTCAGGGTCAGGGTCAGGGTCAGGGTTAGGGTTAGGGTTAGGGTTAGGGGTAGGGTTAGGGTTAGGGTTAGGGGTAGGGGTAGGGGTAGGGTCAGGGTCAGGGTCAGGGTTAGGGTTAGGGTTAGGGTTAGGGTTAGGGGTAGGGTTAGGGTTACCTTGCCGATGGTTGCGGACGGGTGGACCATCACGTTCCTACGTGCTGAACACGCCAGCCTCGGGGCGGGAAGACGGGACTGTGCAGCGTCTTCAGAGCTCCGCGTGAAGACAAGAGAGGCGGAGGCGGTGAGTGCAGGTGAATGCGGCCGAAGGCGATCGAATGCAGTGGAAGACGTTGCGCTCTCGAGGGCTAGTTGGGATACAGGAACACGTACTCCGCTTCTAGGATCGACTTCCCGGTGACAGTGAAGTCCGCCGTCGACTCGGCGAGCGAGGCGGGCGCCTGGGGAGATATGGGGGAGATCTGGGGAGATATGGGGGAGATATGGGGAGAGATGGGGGAGAGATGGGGAGATATGGGGGAGATATGGGGGAGATATGGGGGAGATATGGGGGAGAGATGGGGTGACAGTGACGTCCGCCGTCGACTCGCGAGGGCGGGCGTCTGGCGGCGCGCGGCGGGGTCTAGCAAGCGTCTGGCAAGCGTGGGACGGGTCGAGGAGGTGTATGGGGCGGGGTCTAGCAAGCGTCTGGCAGGCGTGGGACGGGTCGAGGAGGTGTGTGGGGCGGGGTCTAGCAAGCGTCTGGCAAGCGTGGGACGGGTCGAGGAGGTGTGTGGGGCGGGGTCTAGCAAGCGTCTGGCAAGCGTGGGACGGGTCGAGGAGGTGTGTGGGGCGGGGTCTAGCAAGCGTCTGGCAGGCGTGGGACGGGTCGAGGAGGTGTGTGGGGCGGGGTCTAGCAAGCGTCTGGCAGGCGTGGGACGGGTCGAGGAGGTGTGTGGGGCGGGGTCTAGCAAGCGTCTGGCAAGCGTGGGACGGGTCGAGGAGGTGTGTGGGGCGGGGTCTAGCAAGCGTCTGGCAAGCGTGGGACGGGTCGAGGAGGTGTATGGGGCGGGGTCTAGCAAGCGTCTGGCAAGCGTGGGACGGGTCGAGGAGGTGTGTGGGGCGGGGTCTAGCAAGCGTCTGGCAAGCGTGGGACGGGTCGAGGAGGTGTGTGGGGCGGGGTGGGAGGAGGTGTCTGGCCGGGCGGCGGGCGCCAGGTAGCGCGCGATCTCCAGGTGCGACGCGACGGCGCCCATGTACGAGCGGGTCGAGGTGAGCTTGACCCAGTACCTAGAAGGCTCCTAGAAGGTTCCGAGAAGGCTCCTAGAAGGGTCGAGGTGAGCCTGGCCCAGTACCTAGAAGGCTCCTAGAAGGTTCCGAGAAGGCTCCTAGAAGGGTCGAGGTGAGCTTGGCCCAGTACCTAGAAGGCTCCTAGAAGGTTCCGAGAAGGCTCCTAGAAGGGTCGAGGTGAGCTTGGCCCAGTACCTAGAAGGCTCCTAGAAGGTTCCGAGAAGGCTCCTAGAAGGGTCGAGGTGAGCTTGGCCCAGTACCTAGAAGGCTCCTAGAAGGTTCCGAGAAGGCTCCTAGAAGGGTCGAGGTGAGCTTGGCCCAGTACCTAGAAGGCTCCTAGAAGGTTCCGAGAAGGCTCCTAGAAGGGTCGAGGTGAGCTTGGCCCAGTACCCCGAGAGCAGCATCGAGTTGAGCTGCTCGGCCTAAGGCGGGGGGCAAAGTGAGGGGAGATATGGGGAAGGTATGGGGGAGATATGGGGGAGATATGGGGGGGATACGGGGAGATTACCCCGCCTAAGGCAAGGTGAGGCAAGGTGACGCACAAGCCCGCCTCTCCACACACACAAGGTGGCGGGGCAAGGGGCCAGGCGACCCCTCGCGACTCCACGTCTAAAAGACAGGAGCCCCATGGCGTTCAAAGTGCAAGGCCCGGTGCGCGTGGGTGAGCGGTGATGTGCGTGCGTGCGTGCGTGCGTGCGTGCGTGCGTGCATGCGCGCGCGTGCGTGTGTGCTTCCTCCACCTTGGCCATCGCGGGCAGCAGCTCGTTCATCGAGACGCGCGAGCTCGCGCGGATGCGCTCGAAGATGGCGGGCGAGAAGACATAGACGCCTAGATGTGGGGGAGATATGGGGAGATATGGGGAGATATGGCGAGATATGCGAGAAGAGATAGACGCATAGTAGCTGCACTCCCCCCCTCTCCTCGAACATGGCGGGCGAGAAGGCGCAGGCGCCGCAGTCGGATGCGGTCTGACACAAAGGAAGTGTCTAGGAGGTGTCGGAAGTGTCTAGCAAGTGCGCCGCAGTTGATGCGGTCGGACACAAACGTCTCTGGCCGGTCCACAAAGTGGGTGATGCCTGCAGGAAGGTTCCAGGAAAGGTCTAGGAAAGGTCTTGCGCCAATACGGTCCACGAAGTGGGTGTGACGCCTCCCGTCCTCTCGTCCACCACCACCACGCCGTACTCGGACGGCTCCTCTGAGCGGGTCGTCAGCAGCGTCCCCTCGCGGCCGTGCCTAGAAGGCTCCGAGAAGGCTCCGAGAAGGCTCCGAGAAGGGTCGCCCTCGTGGCCCTCGCGGCCGCGCTTGAGGTGGGCGAGCAGGAGGTCGCGCAGCGGGTACGAGCAGAGCACGTCGGCGTTCACGACGATGAAGGGCGCGTCGTTGGTGCCGTCGTCGGTGACGAGCGCCTACAGGAGTACGAACCGCGAGAAGAGTAGATTGGCACTGGGCGCCTCGCCGGCTGGTGCCGTCGGGCGGCGACGAACTCGCCTCCGCGTGCTTGAGCGCGCCGGCGGTGCCCGCCGGTTCGGTCTCTTGCGAGCAGACGAGCTTGAGCCCCAGCTCGCCGCTCAGCTGCTCGATGGCCGCTGTCCAGTCGGCCGGCACCTGCGCCGACCGCGCGGCGCCGTGACCGGCGAGGGGGAGGGTGGACGCCGCCCGCCGGGCACCGGCGGCGCTGTGCGGACGCGCCTCCTTGTTCGGGTGGCAGATGACGACTTGCGAGATGCCGGCATCCTTCAGCGCCTGGAGCTGGTGAAAGATGAGCGAGCGGTTGCAAAAGCGGAGGAGCGGAAGCGGCTGCGACAGCGTCAGCGGCCGGAGGCTGCCCGAGAAGTTTCCGATGAGCAGCACAGCTTTCATACGCTCGTGGGGGCCGTGCAGGCGCAACTCGACTGTGCCTTCACACCTGAGGCCAGCAAATGAAGAAAAAGAAAATAGGTAAGTCAGCAAAAGAAAATGAAGAAACGCTGCACGAATTTTAGTCCTTCCACATGGTTGTGTCCCTACGCCTCAAAGAGCCGGAACCCAGCCATGGCGGAAACAGTAGCGTTGGGGGCTGGCCTGAGCTGCTCCGACGCGGCCGTGCTAGCGGTGCAGCGTGGCGAGGAGGAGGCGGTGCTGGCGTGGCTCGACAGCGGCGGGCGGGTCGACGCGGCGTACGAGAGAGGCGGCGTGAGCGGCTTCACGCTGCTGATGGAAGCCGCCAACCAAGGCCACGAGCGGGTGGTCGAGCTGCTGCTTCGGCACGGCGCAGAGATCAACCAGCAGGACAGCGTCGGTGGCGCCGCGCTGATGTGGGCCGTCAGCCAAGGCCACGAGCGGGTGGTCGACTTGCTGCTGGAGCGCGGCGCGGAGATCAACCTGCAGGATAGCAACGGCTTCACCGCGCTGATTCTCGCCGCCGGCAAAGGCCACGAGCGGGTGGTCGAGCTGCTGATTCGGCAAGGCGCGGAGCTCAGCCTGCAGGACAGCAAAGGCTGCACCGCGCTGATGACTGCCGCCCAGGATGGCCACGAGCGGGTGGTCGAGCTGCTGATTCGGCACGGCGCGGAGGTCAACCTGCAGGACAGCATCGGCTGCACCGCGCTCATGATCGCCGCCCTCTTCAACCACCCATCCGTCGTGCGGCGCTTGCTGCGGGCGGGCGCTGACACGGCGTCACGCACTGTTGACGGCAGCACGGCGCTGCAGCTGGCCAAGGAGGAGGGCCACGCCGAGTGCGTCGAGGCCTTCAGGCAGCACGTTAAGGAGTCGGCCCTGGACCAAATGTCCACCGCGCCCGGCACGCCGCCTTCGCCGTTCGCGGAAGGCGGCGGCGACGTCCCTGCAAGCATTCAGAGGGCCGCCGAAGATGGCCAAGTGGGAGCGGTGCTGTCGTGGTTCGACGGCGGCGGGCGGGTCGACGAGACGTTCGAGTACACCTTTTTGGACGGCTACCGTGCGAGCGGCATGACGCTGCTGATGATCGCGATGGCCAATGGCCACGCGGAGCTGGCCGAGGCGCTTCTGCGGCGCGGCGCGGATGTCTCATTGCAGGCCAGCAACAGCAGCAACGCGCTGAGCATCGCCGCCGCCAGCGGCCGCGAGAAAATGGTCGAGCTGGCATTGCAGCGTGGCGCGGAGATCAATCAGAAGTACAGCGACGGCAGCACTGCGCTGATGGCCGCTGCCTACGAAGGCCACGAGCGGGTTGTAGACACGCTGATCCGGCACGGCGCGGAGATCAACCTACAAAACAACAACGGCGACACCGCTCTGATGTTCGCCGCCCTCGGCAACCATCCCGCCGTGGAGCTCCGCTTGCTGCGGGCGGGCGCAGACATGAAGCTGCGAAACGTGGTGGGTGCGACAGCACTGCAGATTGCCAAGGAGAAGGGCCACGCCGAGTGCTACGAGGCCTTCAGGACGTATCTCGGGGAGGTGACGGCAGCTCGGAGCAAGGCGCCGTCGGCCGAGGCGGACGGCGCAGGGGCGGGCGGCGCACCCGCAGGCGAGGCGGCGGGCGCCAGTGCCGCGGCCTCTGCCTCGAGCGGCGAGGGCGGTGCGGAAGCTGCGCCGGGCAGCGAGGCGGTGCCAAAGGAGGTCGTGCTAGCGGCTGAGCGAGGCGAAGAGGCGACGATGCTGGCGTGGCTCGACGGCGGCGGGCGGGTCAACGAGAGGTTCGAGTACATCTTTGCGGACGGCCCTGTGAGCGGCGTGACGCTGCTGATGGTCGCAATGTCCCATGGCCACGCGGGGCTGGCCGATGCGCTTCTGCGGCGCGGTGCAGATGTCTCGTTGCAGAACAGCGACGGCAGTACCGCGTTGGGTCTCGCCGCCGCGAACGGCTACGAGAATCTGGTCGAGCTGGCGTTGCGGTGCGGCGCAAAGATCGACCAGAAGAACAGCAACGGCAGCACAGCGCTGATGGAGGCCGCCTGCTATGGCCACGAGCGGGTTGTAGACACGCTGATCCGGCACGGCGCGGAGATCGACCTGCAGGACAACGACGGCGACACCACTCTGATGTTCGCCGCCTTGTTCGGACACCCCGCCGCCCTTCTCTGCCTGCTGCGGGCGGGCGCAGACATGACGCTGTGCAATAGCAGCGGCAAGACCGCGCTGCAATCGGCCAAGGGGAAGGGCCACGCCGAGTGCGTGCGCGCCCTCGAGGAGCATGCGGCGGCCAAGGTGGCGGCCGAGAAGTCGGCGAAGGAGGAGGCGTGGGCTGCGGGGGCGGCGGAGAGGGCGGCGGAGAGGGCGGCGGAGGAGAAGGAGGCGGCGCGGCACGCCGACGAGCTGCTGGCGGAGGTCGAGGCGGAGAAGCGCGCCAAGGGCAAGAAGGGCAAGAAGAAGAAGAAGGGCGGCGAGGCGGGCGCGGCTGGGCCGTCGCAGGAGACGATGGCGGCGGCGGAGGGTGATGAGGCGCCGTTGGAGGCAGCGGAGGCCGCAAAGAAGGCCGAGGAGGAGAGAATGATGAGGCTTCTCGAGAAGTGTCACGAGGAGAGGATCCGGTTCGGCATCACAGCGGAGAGCCAGGCAGCGGCGTCGGCAGCGGTGGCCGAGGCTGTGCGTTTGGACGCTGAGGCGGACGAGGCGGAGGAGGAGGCAGAGGCGGACGAAGAGGCGGCGGCGGCGGCAGAGGCGGCTCGGGCGGCGGCGGCGCAGGCGCAGGCGGAGATCGTCGCAGCGCTGGAGAAGGCCAACGCGGCGCTCGCGGACGCGACGGCCGCTGCAGAGGCGAGCGCTGCTGTTGCGGCTGCTTCGAAGGCCAAGGCGACCGCTGCCAGGATGGCCGCGGATGCAGCCGAGCAGCAGCGCTCGTGACGTGAGAGCTGCTCGGGTGGCTCTCACGTCGATCACGATCTGTCCGCCGCGTGGCGAGACTGAGTGAGACTTAAGGACAGACTGTCGCACGTGACTCGTGAGAGCTGGCCTGCTCGTACAGCCACCACGACAGCCACCTTGGCAACTCCTTTTGTCGCATGTCGGGGAGCGCGCGCCACGCGCACGTCGCACGTGTTGAAGAGGGAACAGGACGAACATAAAATATGTGAAGTCAATCTTTTTCGCCTCTGTGTGACGGCCCCCGGGTGACACGTGCGCGGCGCTTTGTGAACAATTTTCTCGCAATCCATTGAGAGCTAGCACGTATGTTTTAGCACTTGAGGCAAACTGCGGGTAAATAAATATTTTTGAACGGATGAACGCGAGCTCGTGGGGTCCACGAAAGCACCGCTTGGCGGTGTCAGAACCGCCCTCTTTGACCCAGGGGGGCCGAATCTGCGCCCTCTCGGCCCCGGCGGCGGTCCCAGAGAGGGCCGGCACGCGGGCTCCGCCGACGCTCTCGCAACGCGGGTCGCGCCGCGCGCCTCCCGGACGAAGCGTGTTGGTGCGCGACGGCGATCCTCGCCTGCGGGGAGCGGAGCACACGCGTCGGATGGCGAGGGCAGCACAAATATTGCACTCACGTCCCAGTATGGCAGCAGCCGGACGGGTTGGGTGGCGTGAGGGCAGGGTGGTGAGGATGATTCCACAGATCTCGCTGGAAATGGCCGTGTCCTTCCCGGGGGAGGCAGGCGAGCACGCACCTCGCGTCCGAGCGCGAGTCGACGAGTGGTCGCCGAGAGGTCGCCGAACCACGTTTCGAGTGCGCGCGCACACAGCACAGCTGCGGGTCGTAACTCGACTGCCGATCGCGCGTGCGGGATGTAAACGCAGCTCGCTGGCGCCAGTGCACGGTGGCAGGGACTGGAGGCTCGGTCGAAGGGGAAGAGCAGTCCTCAATCGTCACGTGGAGGTCGCTGGGCTGGATCCATCGAACTGCCACACACCTGGAGCGGAGGCACATCAGGTCTTGCGGCACACTCTCCGACAGATGCATGCCTTTTGAGCAAGCCCACGCGCCTCCACCGTCGCGTAGTATGCCAGCGGCACGCCGGTACGCCGACGAGTCGTGCGCGCTCGGCAGTAATCGGCGTTGAGACTGCCTATCACGCACATCGAGAGCGCCGAGTTGTGTTGCCGCGAGGAATCCTGCTCGAAGATGGGGTCCGAGCGGCGCCTGATCGCATGGGATGGATCAGTGGGGCTATCACGTGGGTACTAGGCCTGCTCAGTCAGGAGTTGGCGAGTGTGTGGGAGATTCACGCCCGTCGCTCAACGTCTGTTGAAAAACTGTTCGCTGAGCAAGCTCACGGTCGAGCGGGCTTGACGCGCGCTTCAGGATAGCAAGAGGCGTGCCCACTCCCCTGAGGAGCGTGCGGGCACGCCTGGGAATCGATGTGGAGCGACCATGGACTGGGATGACACCGCGAAGCGCTGCCAAATCCATGTCGCCGAAAAAGCGTCCGCCCTCGGCGTGCTGGAAGCTTCACGGCGGAGGCTGTGAAGTCGCGGCATCGAGTTCAACCTGAGCGCACGCACGCACCGTGCTGGGGACGAGTTGGCCTGCGAGCGGCGAGCGCTCCCGAGCGCGCGGCGCCCCGTTCTGGCCATCTTGCGCTTTACCACCACAAAATCGCCTCCATTTTGCGCGCCTCCGGTGGCAGGTCTAGCCGGGCCCGATTGATGATACTTTTGATGGTTGCGCGCCGGATCTCGACTCCACCGTGCTACGGTGCGTCCCAAAGCAAAACTTGTGGCAGAGGGGCCAGATTGGCCGAATTATAACGACGAGACAGCGTCTGAAGGCTATTTTGCGGCGACACCGATACGCGGTTGAGGGCCCACGGTTGTGGCTAGTGGAGGGTGCTGTACAATCCGAGGGCGTTCCCATGGCCTCACGGGCCCGGGCGAAGATCGTGGCTAGAAAAATCAAAAAGTATCATCCGTGGGGGCGAGATATTTAACTGTGTAGCTCGATTTTGACCCACAACTACACAGAACGGCCCCAAATCGGCCCGGAACCGACCCGTGGGCCCGTCTGCCGCACCCAGCTCCGCCGGGAGGGGCGCGCGCCGTTCCCCGCGGCTCGGGCGGGCCACGCAGACGCGGCGGGAGAGCTTCCCGTGCCCTGTGAGTGCCGTCACACCGTCTCAAATAGGTCCCAAAGTGGGGTTTGCCTCAAGTGTTTTACGAAGCAGCACAAAACTGGACTGGGGCGCCGCGCACTGGCACTAACACACAGGAGGCAGCAATGAGAAAAACATGGATCGGCACGCCATTTAATGGAGCTCGTGTTCCATGGCGTGTGCGTGTTTCCCTATTCACTCTTTATGCATACATGAAAAGCCAAAGTGGGTGATCACTACGATTCCTCGTCCGCTGCATGGCACTGCTAGGAGCTGCACACGTAGCTGCCTTGGCCGGTCGCACTCACGGCACCGCCGCGACCGTTGATGACGGACTGAATCGCACCGCCACCGTCGAGCAGGTGGGTGAACGAGTGGACGATCCCCGAGGCGTCCGCAGCGTGGATGCCCTCGTGGACGGTTACTTCGTCGAAGAAGTAGCAGTACACGCCCACGCCCAGCGCGCGGTGGTGGCGCGCAGTCACGTTGTAGCCGAGGTGCGGCCACACGGGCGGCGGCGCGTCGTACTGCAGCTCGGACTGGTAGAGGAACACGGCGCCGTCCTCGCCGCGCCACCGCGTGAGGTCGCCCAGCGTGTGCTCGGCGAAGAGGCCGTAGACGGTGACGAAGCGCCCGTCGACCTCCAGCGCGTGCTGCACCGGGTTCTCGCCGTCTGTGAAGTGGGCGGTTGAGTCATGGTCCGCCCGCCACAACCAAGCATGGTCGACGACGACGTGGTCCGCGCGTACCCACAGCATCGTGGTCGCCACGGCGGGCTGTGGCGCGGTCCGCTCGGCATAGACACGCACGAAGCAGTCGTGGAGCAAAATGGGCGCGTCGGCGGTGCCACTGCTGCTTGGTGAGCCGTCGCCGACGACGACGAGGGCACGAGAGCGCAGTGGCCCTGCCTGCACGAGCACGCCCGCCATCCGCACGCCCGCCGCCAACAGCTCCACTGCCGGCAGGCCGCGCATCGGCGTCAGCGTGGCGAAGCCGAGGCCGAGCAGCACCTGGGGCAACACAGCGGGGGCATCTCCTCACAAGCCGCGCCTCACTCAATGCGCTCCGCGCACCTGCCCCCTCGTCGCGACGCGCAGCGGCACGGGCAGCGCATACAGGCCGGGGGTGAGCACGACGTGCCGCCCGCGCGCGAGCTGCGTGTTGATGGCAGCTGCCGAGTCGCTCGGGGTCGCCACGAAGACGACGCTCCGCCCATCGTCGTCGTCGTCGCCGGAAGCCAGCGGCGCTGCGGGCAAGTGGTGCGGGCGGGGCGCCGCGCCCTTTGCCTGCCGGCGGATTGGAGGGAGGGCGAGGTGGAGGGTCTGGTTCTGCAAGAAGAGGAATGGCTTCTCCGCCGCGAGCGGCGCACTGCCCACGCTCGCCACCGCCGGGCCGCCGCCGCCGCAGCTGTCGGGTGGCGGGGTGGGCGTGACGCCGAGAAAGACGGAGTTGAAGGAGGGCAACCCCTCGACGCCGCCGCCGAGCTCGCTCGTTCGGAGGAGCGACTGCTGCTGCGTGCCGAAGGCGATCGCGCCGCTCAACCGCAGGTCCGCGGCGAAGCCGCCCGACGCCCACCCGCCCGCCGCAGAGAGCTCCACGCGCTCGGCGACGACGCTGCGCAGCGGCGCCGCCTGCGGGGCGCGACGGTGAACAGCATCTCTTCACGCCTCGAGGTCTGAACAGGTGTCGGCGCTGCTGCTAGCGCTGCCTGCGAGGTGGCCCACACGAGCGTACCGGAGACGCGCAGGTTCTCGGCGGAGCGCCAGAAGTTGTCGAGCGCACCCACGTCCGCGTACGGGGAGCCGACGTGTGGGGCGGGTGGGCGGGGCCCGCAGTTGTCGACGTGCACGCCGCGGCGGCCAGTGAACGTGACATCCTCCGGCCGCCGGCCCAGACCAGCGACCTGCGTGTAGAAGCCGACCTCGACGTCCAGGTCGTAGCTGCCAGGCGCGAAGAGGAACGCATATCGGTGAGGCGAGAACTGCCCGTGGCAGTTCGGCCCGCCGTTCGCGAGTAGCGCGGCGCGCAGCCGCTCACGCGCAGCGGCCACGTTCGCTTCAGTCACGACCACGACCGAGTCGGGAAGTCCAAAATTCGAGCCGAGAGAGACTAGCGCCGGCTGCTGCCGCACTGGTGAGCGCAGCAGCAGAAGCAGCAGCATGAGCAGCAGCGGGGACAGCAGCGAGTAGACTCGGCGCTGAGACGTGCAGGCGCCTTCGAGTCGGACGTACGGATTGTCGCTGTTGGCGTCGGTCAGAGTGGACGCCATTGCGTGGGCAGCAACGGAGAAAGCCGCCTCGCACGACACTGGGCACGGGACTGGCGCGCACTGGCTGGCCGCCGACAGCGCCTAACTTGGGGTCTGGGGCGGAGCCCCAGCCTGGGGTCTGGGGCTGGCAGCCCCAGCGGGGTGGGGGCAAAAGACGGCCCGCGAAGAAAATTTGCATTTTTACCAAAAAAGAAACCCGGAAAAAGGCTGTGAGCTGCTGCCCAAGAGCCCCCAAACAAGAGCGCAATGTACAAATCTCGTACAATAGTACACACACACACACACACACACACACACACACACACACACACACACACACACACACACACACACACACACACACACACACGATTCATACTCATGCAGTGTGTACAGGTCACTTCCGTCGCTGACGCTTCGACATGACTGGCTTGGCTGCTGGCTTGGCTGCTGGCGGCTTGCGCCGTGCGGACCCCTTGGCTGCCGGCTTGGCCCCCCGCCCTGCCCGCGCCGGTGCTGGCGCATGCAATGATGGGCCATCGTCATCACTGCTGTCTGGCGGGCGCGTCGGCGGTGCTCGAGGCGGTGCAGCCTTACGCTTCCCTGCACGCTGCGCGGGTGCAGGTGCGGGTGCGGGTGCGGGTGCGGGTGCGGGCGCCTCGCCGTCCTCGTCCTCGTCCTCGTCCTCGGACTCGTCGCACGAGGTGTCCTCCATGTAGCCCGCACGCTCCTCCTGGGGCGTGGGGAGGGTGAGGGTCCGGTCGGATGCGGAGAGCAGGGCGGGAGAGGGTGAGGCGTACCAAAGAGGGCCGCCGTTGAGCGCGATGTCGGGCGTTTGCAGCACCTCGAGCCAAAACTCAAAGTTGCGACCCCAGACGGCGCCGTCGGTGGTGATGGCGAGGCTGTGCGCAAATCCAGCCGACACAGCGACGACGCGCTTCTCAGCCAAGGCCTCGACCTTCTTCGGCAGCAGCTGGCTCTGCTGGTCGCCGTGGCCCAGCTTGCCAGCATATCCATCGCCCCAGCTCCAGACAGCGCCGTCAGCGGTGACAGCGATGCTGTGGCCGCTTCCAGCCGACACAGCGACGACGCGCTGCCCAGCGAAGGCCTCGATCTTCTTCGGCAGCAGCTGGTCCTGCGCGTCGCCGTGGCCCATCTGGCCGCAGCCTCCGTTGCCCCAGCTCCAAACAGCGTCGTCTGCGGTGATGGCGAGGCTGTGGAATGCTCCAGCCGACACAGCGACGACGTGCTGGCCAGCGAAGGCCTCGACTTTCTTGGGCTGCCACTGGGACTGCTCGTCGCCGTGGCCCAACTGGCCTAGCCTTCCATTGCCCCAGCTCCAGACGGCTCCGGTCAGTGGTGAGGGCGAGGCTTTGCACAATAGCCGACACACTCACGGCACGCTCGCCACCCAGCGCCGACGGGAGGCGGGTCGGCGTGTTGAGCCGCGTCACGCCCTTCCCGTGGCCGAGTAACCCTGGCGTCAGACCCGACTCCTTGCCGCACGAGGACAGCCGCCCCTCGCCGTCGATGAAGAAGCTGTGGAAGTGGCCTGCCGCCAGCCTCGCCGGCGGGTTGGCCTCGCGCAGCAGCGCAGCGAAGCACAGCCACCGCACGGCGCAGCTCTCGCCCTCTGGCTGCGCCGGCAGCTCCAAGCCGCGCTCTTGCGCCCACAAGCGGATGCCCTCCGCTGCGAGCGAGGCGTAGAACAGCAGCGAGACGGCCGCGGCGCGAGCGATGTCGAGGGGGTCGCAGCGAGAAAGGGCGCGCGCGAGGAGCTCCGTGGGGAGTCGAGGAGCCGGGCGGGCGGCGGCGTGCTTCCCTCGCCCGTATAGTCGGTGACTCCGATGGCGCTCAGGTGCGCCAAAAGCTTGGAGCACGAGTTGGAGCAGAGCGGGATGCCAGGGCGGGCGGCGGCGGGCGCGGCGGCGACGAGATGCCAGGCGACGGCACCGGCTCCGGCGGCGCAGAGGGCGAAGGCGAGCAGGGCAGGCGTGGAGAGGCAGGCTGCCGTCCGCGCCGTGCCGGCGTGCTGCGGAGCTTCTACTGTCAGCATGCTGGCGATGTCGTGGGAGCAGGCAGAGGAGGCGCGATAGTAGCAGAGGAGGTGCCGGTCGGCAAGTCCAAGGCGGCGTAAAGAGAAGGTTCGTCGGGCTTTCGCGCCGATGCGATTTTTTCGGCACGCCGCCGGCCACGAATGGGAATGAACGCCACCTTCTAGGCCTGTGTGCCAGGGTGCAAGTCCGTGAAGAATAGAAAAGAATTGGGACTACTGAATTCGCATCCGCACGCCTCGAGAGCACGCTGGATTCGAACTTTTTGCGGGGTAAGGTATGGTAGCGTCGGGGCCAAAAGGGTGGGGGGGTATGGTCCTGGCCGCCGGAGGCGGCCTGCTCGACGGGTGGGGGGGTATGGTCAATCGCTGGAGCGGCCGTACCACGTTACAACAGGGTTCGAACCCAGTACACAGCCGCCGTACACAGCCGCGGACACGATGCCGACTCACAGCGGCCGCTTCGATACTGTCGCGGGCCTTCTCGCCGCGACGCCGCCTCGACTTCGGCTCCTGGACAGCTCGCTGCCCGACGACGCCGAGCGCGCCGCTGTGCGCAGCTGCTGCGCTGGTACGCTTGCGTCGTGCATCGCACAGCTCGACGCTGCGATTGCACCGCATGCCGTCCGCATGATGGACGGGAGGCTTCCGACAAGCGACGCTTTCCGTGGCGACGACCACGATCTCAGCAAGCTGAAGGCGCTCAAAACTGTCGCCACGATGGTCCTGCAGGACGGACCGATGCTCTATCGCGAGGCCTGCGCGAGTCTCGTCCACGCGCGCTCCACCTTCTTCTCGGACCTCAACGCGGCGCTCGATGCCGATGTCTTTGATTCTGCCTTTCGATTCAGATCGCCGTCGTGGCTCGCGAAGCGCGCGGGGCATGAGCTGTTGGCGCGCGTACCGCTCGTGCGCGTGCCTTTGGCCAGCTATGGCGCGGAGGGCGGCGTGCGGGAGAGCCTGCTGATGCCCATCATGCCTCTCACAGTTGGAAGCGGAGGAGGAGGCCCGCAAGAAGAAGACGAAGGCTGAGCAGGAGGCCGCGGTCAAGCGCAAGGCCGACCAGCAGGAGAAGGCGCAGATTGCGGTGCAGCGGGAGGCGCTCGCGAAGGCGGCGAAGCGCGGGCTCGGCGAGGCGTGGGCGGCCGTCGCCGCGAAGCAGGGCGAGGTGGGCTAAAGCGCTAGTTCAAGTCGATCGTGAGGGAGGGCGAGACGATCGAGGGGTCCCGTACCACGCGGAATCGACCCTATCCTGTGCTCAAGTGCTCAATGGAAAGAAAAATGAGAAACATGCGGCGGAGTGAATTAAGAACTACAGTGGGTTTCGGGCATTAAGAAAACGTAGTATTAAGAAACCACGCCGAGCGATTTTCGCGAAAATCTAAGAAACCACGGCGCGCCGCAGGCGCGCCGGCTGGCAAGCGCCGCAGGCGCGCAGGCTGGCAAGCGCCGCAACACACTCACCCAAACGCCCCTGTGATGCAGTCGGTTGGCGTCGACGACCACAAGGTGCCGCCCAACGAGACCGACCAGGTGCAGCCGATTGATCGCGGCATGGGGCGCCAGATCAAAGTCTACCTCGGGCAGCTGCTCGATGAGTGGCTTGACGACGAGGACAACCTCGAGAAATGGGAGTCGAACAAGCTGACGGCCTCGGACCGCCGCATCCTCCTCGCCCACTGGTTCTACAAGGCCTCCATGAAGGCGCTCCAGGGCGAGGCCAAGCGCAAGTACTTCGAGCACGCTCTGGTGCCCTGCTCACAGCCGATGGCACGGACGACGACCTCATCAAGCTGGAGGGCGCCCCCGCCGGCTACAAGGTGGTGATCCCGCAGCTTACTTATTTTTTTTATTTTTTGAGAGCGCCTTCGTTGTTAATAATACAAACCCATTGGTCCTGTGTCGCAGTCACACTTGTCGCAGTCACACACACGCACACGCCAATCCGCACCGCGCGCCCGGCCACCGCCTCGCCTAGCGCGCCTCGCACGGAAAAATGCCTCGGCCCAGCGGTCGGTCCTGAGTGCCGGCCGGGGCTAAGAAACCACGGCGTGGGCTGGGGGAGGAGGGTGGAAAGGCTTAGAAACGGCGGCGTGCCGCCGGATCCTGTTTTCTTAATGCCCGAAACCCACTGTATGGTGCGCCACCGCAAATCCGTCCACAATGCTTTACTTGGAGCATCTCACTGGGTGAGCTTGGATGGACGTCGTCGGATCCCCACATCGCCCTCGGCACTCCCCTGACCGCTCTCTACGATGCGGACCGCTCTCGCTCTGCTTGCCGGCCTCTCGCCAACCGTGCGGGGCGTTTGCGACAGAGTGGCATGTAGCACCATGTATTGCACCTACGAGTACACAAGTACCTCGCTTGGGTCACCGACGACACAAAAGACCGAAGACTGTTTCACATACTTTTCCAAATGGCACGGATCCGGCATCGACACCCACAAAGACTGCTCTGAGTTCGCACCCGAGTGCTGGATGGCGTGCAATTTTCCACGCGAATGCTCGTGTGTGCCTGACACCCGACCGGACGGCCTAACACGACGGTTACTGTACGCGCTCGTGTGGTGGGGTGGGGGGTGGGGGGGTATGGTCCTGCTGGCCAGAGGCGACGTCCTGTGCGGGGGGGGGTATGGTCGCGGCGCCACGACGACTTTTGTGTGCGCTGGCCGCACTCAACCGTTGAGTCGCGGTGTATCAGTCTGACCACAATCGGGACCGCGTAGGCGATGTGGGCGACTCTGGCCGTCCTGCATATGACCGACCATGACCCAGGAGGAGTGTACACGAGACATATCGTACATGGCTGGCGTTCTCGCGGCAGCACTATCGCGTGCGGCCGAGTGCGAGTTTCCGTGCCCGGTGCCAGACGCACTCGGCGCCAGACGTCCTCGGGAGCTCGCAGTTTTGCCATACCTGCCTGCCCTCCCACTGGCTCGGCGCTCCTGGTCCCTACCCTCGTAGGCAAGGCTGAGCGATCCCGAGCTCCAGGGCGCCATCGCCGTGCTCGGCGGCGCCGCCAAGGGCGCGAAAGACGCGCTCACAAAGGACTAGACGCGCTGCTGCTAAAGAAGCCGGGCACGCTCGTCGCGAGAAGTGGCTGCCGCCGCCGTCGGGAGGGCGGCAGCCACTTCTCGCGCTGCCCAACGCGCCTTCGCCGACCGCCGCGCCATCGCCGATGCCGTTGCTCGCGCTACCGGCGCCACCGGCCGCGCGGGCCGCGCTGGCGGCGGCGCCGCCGCCGCGCGCCGGCCGCTGCGGCTCCGCAGAAGCGATCCCTCGCGCAGAATCGCCCTCGGTGCCGCGGCGGGCCGGGGGAGAGGGCGTGAGGGTGTCTGTGGTGGGTAGGGGCCCCTTGCCCATCGGGTCGCTGCGCGCTAGAGCAGCGGCGGCCCGCCTAGGAGTAATGGAAATCTCTGCGCAAGAACAGTAGATCGTGGGGGTAGAGACAGTAGATTAAGACTGGAGATCCTAGCGGATCTCTCACACGGACACGCCCAAGTCTCGCCAGTAGATTTGCCTCCACCAGTTCTTCAATCTACTGCTGCTCTTGGCAGGAGATTTGCCACTTAAGAGATCTCTAAAAGGCATCTACGATCTACAGTCCACAAGGATCTTCCGATGTTGTGCACACTTTCAACTTCATGCCAGGCGAGGCAGGCCAAAGTGGAGCCCAGATAAAAATGGCGCCGGAGGCTCCCCGGGCCGTCCGCGCACAGAACCTTTGTCTAAAAACAAAACAAGAAAATCGATGAGACACCACTAGGGGCTGGGCCTGGGGGGCTCCGATCTCCATCTCTCCAGTACTCTCCAATCTCCAGCGTCGCTACATCTTAGGCCGGATCCAGTCAGATCTCCGATCTCCATCTTCAATCTCCAATCTCCAACGTCGTCATCTTAGGCCGGAATCAGTCAGATCTCCGATCTCCATCTCCAATCTCCAATCTCCAATCTCGATTCGGGGGCCCGGGGGAGGAGGGGGGCTCAAACCTTCAAGGAGATGCGCTATGGACTCATTCACAATGCAAAAGGATCTCCACCCTCTTTTCGCGCCATTTTGCAATCTCCAGTCGGCCCACACGATCTCTAGGCGCCTTTGGCGCGAAGTCAGAATCTCCACCTCTGTCGCAAGATCTCAAGCGACTGCACGCACCAACTCGAGATCTCAGACTCCTCTCGAGCATTCTACACCGGAGAAGATTTGCCTCCACCAGTTCTTCAATCTACTGCTGCTCTTGGCAGGAGATTTGCCACTTAAGAGATCTCTAAAAGGCATCTACGATCTACAGTCCAAGGATCTTCCGATGTTGCGCAGAGATTTCCATGTATGCCGCCTAGGGGGCTCAGGGCGGCCTGCCGGAGGGTGCCCCTAATGTGAAACTCACCTCCGGGGGAGGCCAACTTTGAGTGGTTGTGCCGAGTACTGTTTAAGGGTTGTGGGGCTGCTGTGGGCGGTTTTGGGCGTCCCTGGGGCACCCTCTGGAAGGGTCTGGCCCGTTGGTTCGGGGGGCGTCGCGTCTAGGGGGTGTATTCACACCTCAAAAATCGTTTCACGGAAGGTAAACCCTCCCTAAGTGTGTGTGTGTGTGAACCGCCAATGGCCGTTATCCGTTAGTGCGGACGTCGCCGCGGCTCG